AGCATAGCAGTAACTGGTAGGAACTGAGATAGAGACAGCACCTCTGAGCCAAGCCCACTTGCTTTCCTGACTGCACTGGTTCTGGTGAGGAAGCAACAGCATCAGCGCTTGACACTCCAGCCTCCCCCAGCGCCTTTCCTTTCAGCCTGCTCTGTGCTTAGTGACCTGCCTGCCCACTGTCCATGCAGAGTGGCTTCTGGGGGAGCATCCCATCTTCCATCCCACCTCCTGCTTTTCAAACAAACAATAGTTCTTAGTCCAGGGGTATCTCATCTAATGACCAGGTTTCAAAGCCAAGATGCTGTGGCCGAATGTGTCAAGTCTACTCAGAGAGAGGAAAGATTTAGCACGTGAACCAAATCAAAACAAATTCTTCCTGAACCATATAATAGAGGTGAAAGAGAACCAACCCATAATCAGACACACCAATCTGCCTTGCAGTAGAAGCACTTTGGATGTAATCTCACAATCCACTTGACTAGTTTTGCATAGAACAAACCACAGCAAGTCAGCTGGCTGAGCTTTGATCTTGTTGGGCCGTTAGAAGCCATCCAGCCTTCGTAAGCCTGCTTCCACAGCCCGCAGTAGGGTTCTTTTATCACACCTGAGGCCAGGTGGGATAGGCGTTTCTCTCGGCACCCTGCTAACTGCTAGGATGAATGTATAGTGCCGTGTACAGGTGACATTGTAAACAGCACAAAACAGATGCTGACGTGTGGTTATTCTTTTTAAGAGAATTATAAATACTGTAATATATAATTTTATTTTATTGGCATGCCTTTTTGTAAATACAAATGATGAACCTATTAAATAGGAAATGGCTTCTGGCTTATGCCATTGTCATGTTTATTTTTATTTTTATACTTTTCTTTCTTCTTAGAACTTAGATGCTGTCAGCCAATGTACATCCCCAAACCAGACAGACAGACAAAAAAATTTTTTTATTAATAATGGTCTTTTCCAAAACAATATATATATATATATATTTGTTCCAATGTGCAATAAATTCTAACCACTTCTATGCAAGATTTGGCTAAACTTAATAATTGTTCTTAGGTCTTGAGATGGGCGACAGAGCTCTCCGATCCCATAGGTACAGCAAGAGCCATGCTAGTGATGTCATTCAGCTACTAGAGCCTAGGAACAAGAGTCCTCTGAGACCTGATCCTCCTCCCCCAGCTCCTGACCCCGGCCCAGAAGCCGACTCCTCAGTAACACACAGACCTTGGTATCTGACACCCATCAGCCAGCTACATAGAAAGAAGCCGCCTTCGCTCTCTGAAGTATCACCCTGTCACTCACTCACTCCATCACTCTCACTCACCCATCCTGCTCCACACTTTGGTAGTAAAATGACACCATCACCAGCAGTTTACACCCGCAGTTAACAGGCATTGAACTGAAAGAATCAGCCATGGCATTTTGCTCGTCTTCAGAGTGGGCAAGTGGCAATGCTTTGCCAAATATTAACGAAGCCAATCAAAAAGCAGCAGCAGCCACAGTATCACTGCACATATATATATATAGATATATAAATATAATACAAATATTTATTTTTTGTAGCCGGGTCCTTGGTGCAGTATTTATACTCCACAATCCACCTTTAAAAAAAAAAAAAAAAAAGCAAAAAGATGTGATTTTTGTTCATTTAAAATGCAGAGCCAAAGCCTCCCGAGCAGCAGCTGACATGGTTGCTGGTTTGTGTGAAAAACACTTTTCCCCTCTTCTTTCCATAAACCTCCTTGTTGCTTAGGATGAGGAGAGTCCATGATCTAGAGCAGAGGGTAAGGGCAGGAGAAACTTCCTAAGTCAACATGCCCTGCTCTCCCTGCCTCTATAAATGAGCCGCTTTGGGCATCAGACATTGACTGGGCCAAGGCCGACTCCAGTCAAAGCCCCTGCAAGTGGCGGTGCCCAGATGGCTTCTTTTATTTTTTGCCACAACCAATGTAAACTGTAAAAGACCAATAGTGTATTAGTGAATGCATGGAGGCCAATGGTGCCCAAAACGAGACGTGATTTAAAATAAAACATCATAATAAAATTTTAAAAAACAAAAAAGCAAATCACTACTATAAGCCAAAAGAAAGCAAAATAAAAATGACCCTTTTTACTGTACAAGGGAAGCCTGTCTTGGTGTGTGTTTGTTGCTTGACTATCCCAATTCTTGAGTCTTGGGAGGGGTCTGGGAAACTGGGACCTTAGCACATATGGGTAAAGGGGGGGGGGGGGACATGAGGACAGAAACTAGAGACTCAAAATTTTGGCTAAGTAGAGACTGGAAAGAAAAGCCAGGTCCTGACCCCCGACCCCTGACCCCCACTCACTCACTGCATGTGGCATTCCCCCTGGGCCAGTGCTTAGAGGCCCACAAAATCCCCTTTCTCACCTAATCCACCTGGCAGAGCCTCCAGAGACAACCTCAGCCAGCCCAGCTGGACGAGCCTTACTTCTGCCTTTTTCATCAGTGTATTAAAAAAAAAAATCCACAACTTCTCCCTCCCCCATGCCCCAACATGAGCAAGCCTCCTCCACTAACTAGCACGAGCTGTCTACCGCCCCTAAGACAGATGAGGCCAGCAGATGAGGGCTGTCCCTTTCACATTTGGGCAGGGACCAGTGTGCCTCCCTCTTTGGGGACATCCCTCTCTAGGCCATGTCTCCTGGTCCAGAAACACTCTCAGGAGGTCTTGAAGTGCCCACTCTAGTCCGCTCCAGTAGCTCCACTGGAGACAGATGGCTGGTCAGTAAGTCCCCATGCTCAGCATCTCGGCCCTTCGCCTCCAGGCCTGCTGTGGAGGTGAGAGCGCTCTGTGAATTGAGTCCTGGGCATCTTCCCTAAGGATGCCTCTTTATTTTCTCAGATGTTGCCCAAAGTCTTGCAAAAAGCTTCGTTCATTTTCAGGTACTCCCCTGCTCCCCTAAAGAATTCACTGCAACTATTCAGTCCGGGGGCCATCAGGAGAGAAGTCTGGGTTGGGGGCGGAGGGGCACGGGCAAAGTTTGCGCCAGAGCCTGCATTACGGCTCAGCTCTGTGCTTTCTTGGACTCCTTTTTCATGACTGACAAGATTTTCTTCATTTAACTGCTCCTGAGGCACCCCCTGCCCCTGCCCCCCACTGCTGTTTGCTTGTACATAGAGGCTAAGTGGGGTGGGGTGGGCAGATGTGCACATGTGGTGTGTGTGTGTGTGAAGAATGTATATAGGTAAAGGGGAGCGTGGTCCAGTGGTTATAGAAAAGGGACAGAACTGTTCTATCCCTAGCTCAATCACTGGCTCGCTGTGTGGCCTTGGGCAAGTCACTTAACCTCTCTGTGCCTCAGTTTCCCTATCTGTAAAATGGGGATAATAATACTGACCTACCTCACAGGGGTGTTGTGAGGCTTTAACTAAATGTTTTGTAAAGCGTTTTGAGATACAGAGGCAAAGGCGCTAGGGAAGGACAAAGTATTTGAACTTCAGATGAAATGGTACCATAAATGCTGCTATTCTGAGAGCCATTTTAAACTGCACTGCTCCAACCACCCCCGCTTCTCATCACCAGGACAGCAGGTCGAGAAAATGTCTTTTCTTTCTTTCACTTGCTTCTGGGGTTTGTGACTATTCTAGACACTTAATTTCTTTTTTTTTTCCCCCTGCTGTATCTTCTTCCCTCACCCCCTCGACTTGTTCCCTGTTCTGTTTATGCGGAAATGGCAGAAATGCTTGAGAAATGAGAATGTGTAAGTGGATTGGAAGTTTATAGTCTGAAATTCCAATTTTACTTTGTACTGTACATCTTTTTACTTTAGAATTTGCAATAAAGGGTTACGTCAATCTTGTTTTCAACTCTCCTCTTGGATTGGCCTGTCATTCTGTCCTGGCTTCTTTTACCACCAAACTCTGGGCCTAGGGAAGGGTTGAGTACTGGCGGACTCACCTAGGCTGGGCTTCTAGATGTGGTTGTCAACACACACCCCAATCCCCTAACTATTCAGGTGGGCCAGAAAGGTGGGACATCGGGAGGCCTTGTCCGAATGGGTGCTGCAGCAAGGCCCGGAGCGGCGTATCTTGTTATGGTTGCCAGCATGTGTCTTGGCAGCCCCCCTACCCCACACACCCTACCTCATGCACACAATGTTCCTTTGGCATCCTACTTTAGATGGCTCAGGATTCAAAACCGACCTATGCCATTTAAGGAGTTTTGATTGGTTCCCTATGTGTGAGAAAATGTGTGTGTGTGTGTGTGTGTGTGTGTGTGTGTGTGTGTGTGTGTGTGTGTGTTTGAAAGAGAGAGAGAGAGACTGGAGCCTGGAGCTTGAACTCAGGGCAGGGCTCTCTCCCTTGCTTTTTTTACTCAAGCCTAATGAAGCTTTTTAGTGGTTGCACTGGTAGTAAAGACTCTTAGGGATTGTTGGGTTGTTCTGCCCAGGCTGGCTTCAAAAGGTGATCCTCAGATCTCAGCCTCCTGGGTAGCTAGGAAAACAGGCATGAGCCCGGTGCTCGTGGTGTGAATCAGACAACTCCAGGGCTGCTCCACCACCGGCCGCACAGGCTCTCAGCGGGCGAATGCGAGCTAGAAAGACACAGCCACCCCGCGGCCCGCCCCGCGACCCACCCCGCGGCCCGCCCCGCGACCCACCCCGCGGCCCGCCCCGCGACCCACCCCGCGGCCCGCCCCGCGACCCACCCGCGGCCCACCTTGCGGCCCGCCCCGCGACCCGCCCCGCGGCCCGCCCCGCGACCCACCCGCGGCCCACCTTGCGGCCCGCCCCGCGGCCCGCCCCGCGACCCACCCGCGCGGCCCACCTTGCGGCCCGCCCCGCGGCCCGCCCCGCGGCCCACCTTGCGGCCCACCTTGCGGCCCGCCCCGCGACCCACCTTGCGGCCCGCCCCGCGGCCCGCCCGCGGCCCACCTTGCGGCCCGCCCCGCGGCCCACCCCGCGCCTCTCTGGCCCCAGATCTCCCGACGCTTCCGATCGACAAAGCCACAGGCCCAGCCAGCCGGGGTTTTTAGCTTTTATAGTCGGTCCTCCGCTGGCGTCTCGCCGCCCCGGGCAGCCAGGCCCCCCCACAGCCGCCCGCCGCCCAGGAGCGGCTCTGCCTCCCCGCAGCCCCGCGCTCGGGCGGACCTGGGCCTCAGGCGGCGAGTGGCGGGCGGGCCGGGGCCGCCGGGCCACGCCGGGTCGCCATCGCCGCCGCCGCCGCCGCCGGTGACCCACAGCGTGAGCAGGGTGAGCAGCGCCCCGGTTCCCAGCGCCCCCACGAAGCCGGTGAGGAGGCCGAGCGCCAGCGGCCCGGCCCAGCCCGCGGGGCTCCGGGCGTAGGGAGGTTGCGGCAGGCGCTCCACGATGAGCCGCAGCTCGTCCCAGTTGGGTGCGGCGTCGGCGTCGGCGGAGCGGCGGAGGCGCGGGGCCGGGGCGGGAGCCGGGGCCCGGGCGGCGGCGTTGGGGGGCGGCACATAGTGCTCCCCAAACTTGCGCAGCAGCAGCGTCGCCTGCTGGTGGAGGTTCTTGCCCAGTTCCCGGGCCACGTCGGGGCGGCCGCTGCGCCGCAGAGCCCGGGCCACGCGGTCCCAAGACAGGGACGGGGCCTCGGCCGCCAGCCAGGCCGCCAGCGCCTCCCGGCAGCCGTCCGAGGCCTCCCCGGGCGCCGGCGACCGTCGGTCGGGCTGCTCCGCTCCGGGCGTGGTCGCCTCCCGCCGCCTTCGCCGCCGCGGCCGCCCCCGACGCAGCCCCCGCAGCAGGCGCCGCCACGGCCCCGACGCCGCGGGAGTCAGTGGCTTGGGCCGCACCAACCGGTCCTCCGAGAGCCGGGCCAGCTCCTCGTCCACGTCGGGCTCGGGGGCCTCCAGGAGAGACCGGAAATGGCCGCACTCCTCCGGGGTCAGCAGCTCGGCCAGGCGGACCGCAGCGTGAGGCCCCATGGCATCCAGGGCCCCGGCTGGACCCAGTGTCCAGCCGCAGAGCATCAGGACCACGGTCCTCACTCCCATCGCCGCCATCGCCGCGCTGGGCCGGGTGGGGGAGGGGTCCAGCACCTGCCGATTGTGGGAGGGTGGAGGCTCAGAACATTCCAGAACCCAATTGCGGAGAAAGGGGGAGACGGATTGTATGCTTGCTTGTGCCCACCGTGGGGCTTGAACTCATGGCCTGGGCGCTGTCCCTGAGCTCTTGTGTTCAAGGCTAGTGCTCTACTTCTTTGAGCCGCAGCCACACTTCCAGTTTTCTAGTGATTAATTGGAGATGAGGGTGTCCCCGGGACTTTGCTACCCAGACTGGCTTTGAACTGTGATCTTCAGATCTCAGACTCCTGAGTATCTAGGATTACAGGCGTGAGCCACCAGTACCCTGCATCCCTGAGCTTCTTTGTGCTTAAGGCTGGTGCTGTACCACTTGAGCCACAGCTCAACTTCTGACTTTTTGCTGGTTAATTGGAAATAAAAAGAGTTTCAAGGACTTTTCTGCTCCGGCTGGCTTCAAACTACAATCTTCAGATCTCACCCTGAGTAGCTAGGATTACAGGGATGAACAACACCCGTCAGGGAGAGCGATTTTAGCTTGGACATTGGGGCTTCCAGCACCCAAGGACTGAGAGGAGACTCTCCAACACACGGATTGGTTGCAGGTCATAAAATTCAAGGACTGTAATGATACATTTTGGGGGGGGGGGGTTCCCAACCCCTGGTAGTTGGGTAGGACTTGGCCCTCTAGACAGCTAGGATTCTGGGTCCCTGTCTCATTAATCTCCATATCTTGTAATTCATTTACCACTCCTCACTCCCACCCGCCAGAAACCTGAGACCCCTACTCAATGTCATCCTCAAGACCATCAGATTTCCTCAGCTAAGGATGACCTGAACCATTTCCACGCTCAGCCTGCCCTAGTGCAAGACCCCATCTCTTAATATAAACTCCTCTTCCAGGTACCCTCATACTCTATACACTGGGGGCCTATTTACCTGAACTTGGTTCATGTGCTCACAGAGCCTTGACTGACTCTCCCTCCCAATGTCTTGGCCTATTCTTGGTCACTTGTCCCCATCAGTACCCCCTCACCTCTGGGGCACTCCGCAGACAGATCTACCTTTTTACTGCCTCTCCCTTTAGATTGTGAGGTCGCCTCATTATCCCTAGAGACTGGTGCACAGTTAGTGTTCAGTAAAGGTGTGTTGGGGCGATGTGTGAATGCCTGCAAGGGAATCTCTTATCCAGATCCTTTCCCTTCCTCTTTCCTGCCTCAGGCACTTCATGGTGAAGCCTCAGCTCAGAATTTTGGTCCCAGCCCACTCCTCTAACCTCATTTCTCTCCGCTCCTGCCCCCATTTTGCGCTCTCATAGCCAATCACTGCCAGGGATACAACCCCACTTACAGGAGGCAATATGCTTCTTCCAGCCTCCACACTGCAGGGCTGTGAGCCTCCTGTCTAGGAAAGTCCTGGCATATACCACCATGTGTCCAGGCCTTTGTTGCGCATGCTCATCAAAGCACTTTTCTGGAAATCAGTAAGTGATTTTGTGATGTCTTTTATGTATCAGATAATTGTGTCAGGTATGAGAACAGGAAGCCTGGTGTGCTCACCTAGCACCCTTAACCAGTTGTATTTTTAAATGATGTTTTTGAGATTTTTCATCCTGGACTGTAGGATCTCAGCAACTACAGTGAACTACTCCTGTGCCCTCAGAGCCATTCACAATGTCTGTACACAGTAGCTGTGTGGTAAACTGGAGGAGCAGGTATCTGGACCTCCTAGAGCTGAGGGGTTCGATTATTGAACCTCAGAGTTCTCTGGTCCAGGTCCACCCACAACTGTCCCTTTGGAGTCAGCTGCTTGCTTCACAGGTGCTAGCTTTGCCTCTAGCCTGCTTGAGGTACAAGCAGAAGAGCCCAGAGCAAAGAGCCTGGCTCATTCACTGCTCCCCTTGGGCTCTGGTGCATTTTCAATCATTTTGCTTAGATTACTCCAACATCTCAAGAAAGAGTATGGCAAAACTTCTTTTAGGCATCTCCACAGAGCTATTTCAGCAAGTGTTTCTAGTTGCTTCCATTCCTTTGTTTATCATGAGCTGTCAAAGGTGAGCTGGGTACTAGTGGCTCACACCTAGCTACTCAGGAGGCTAAGATCTGAGGATTATGGTTCGAAGCTAGCCCAGGCAGGGAAGTCCCTGAGAGGTTTTTTTGTTTTGGTTTGGTTTTGCCAGTCCAGGGGCTTGAACTCTAGGGCCCTGGAACTGTCCCTGAACTTCTTTTGCTCAAGGCTATAACTCTACCCCTTGAGCCATAGCACCACTTCCAGCTTTTTCTGTTTATGTGGTACTAAGAAATTGAACCCAGGGCTTCATGTATGTGAGGCAAGCATTCTACCACTAAGCCACATTCCCAGCCCCCTGAGAATTTTATTGCTAATTAACTTCCCCCCAAAAAAAGTGGTAGAGTACTAGTATTGAGCAAAAAGGCTCAAGGACAGTGGTCAGGCCTTGAGTTCAAGCCTCAAGACTGACACACATGTGCACACACACACACAATATAATCTGGGGACTTATAGATGATGGTGAAGTAGATACATGGTCTCATGAGACAAACACTAGAATTCAGCTGTCTCCACACCCTGCCCTCCACCCAATGGGAGGTGTGACCCTAGCTTTACCCCACCAGGTCAGAGGCAGGCAGGGAACAAGTTAGATGCTAAAATAGGAGACTGAAGAGGAAGTAGGGATTCTCCTTGAACCAAGGATCAGAGTTGTAAAATGAGAGCCCTGTCAAGGAAAATTGGTTGGAAGGAGAGAGTGTGGTTCTCAGAAGGGCTCCCTGGACATAGTGCTGCATGTCTGTGTTCCTGGATACAAGGGAGGTGTGGGTAGTAGAATCAGGGTCCCAAGCTACCCTGGCAAAAATGAAAGACCCAAGCTGGGCACCACTGGCTTACGCCTGTAATCCTAACTACTCAGAAGGCTGAAACCTGGAAGATCTTGGTTCAAAGCCAGCCCAGGCAAGACAGTCATTGAAACTCCATTTCCAAAATAACCAGCAAAAAGTCTGGCTGAAGATATGGCTCAAATGGTAAAACAACAGCTGTGAACAAGGAACCTATATGAGGATGTAAGGCCCAGAGCTCAAAGCTTGAGCAGGAGAGTGGAGTAAGAAGTAGGAGAAAGAGATGATCTGAAAAATGAAGCTCAAAGTGTTTAGGAGTGTGACTAAAGTGGCAGAGCACTTGCCTAGCAAGTGCAAAGTCCTGAATTTAAACTTCAGCATCACATGGGAAGAGGGAGAGGGACCTCAAGCCTGCTGGTGTCTAGGTAAAAAACACCCTATCCATCTCCAGGCCTGGGAGCTCTAGACCCTAGGACTCTAGGAGGACAGAGCCTTGGGTTTAGATTTCTAGTCCCCTTTCTCTTCGCTCCCGCCCCCCACTCCATGCACAGTGTTCATTTGTTCACTCGGCACACATGGGAGCTTTCTGTGCTGCTCATCCTGTGGGGATTTGGGGCTACATGAGACAGCTTGGCCTATCTCAGAGCTCACAACTGCAAGAGCCTCCAACTGGGAACTCTTCTCATGTGACTGCAGTGCCCAGAGCCCACAGCCATTGGCTGTGCAAGTGAACAACAGAATCCCATGAGAACTTCCTGCTGAGGGAACAGAAACAGCCACACCCACACTGGACATGCTTGGAAGTCCAAGTATTCTCAGAGCACTCCCCGCATCCCAGGGACCCCAAGAAATCCTCTGGAAACCACGCCATCACTTTAATACTGTGTAATACTTTCTTTTAAAATACAGTCTCTTTTTGAGGTAGACAGACCACAACTGCAGAGCATCATCAAACAGGAGATAAATACGTCCATGTACAACACGCAGCAAAATGAGGTAGAAATGGTTGCAGCTGGAGGAGAGGATCCCAACCCCAATGTGAGTGGAGGAAGCAGAGGGCCAGCATGCCCTGCCCACAACCAGTCCCTGGATTCTTTGGTATGCCTCCCACATTGCCAGGACTGGAGCTGCCCTGCCTCCCTGCCCTGTGCCCCTGAGGTAGGTGCCATAGACTGGGGGCTATCTTCTTGTGCAAAGCTCCCAAGCCTGGGGATCTAGGGCCTAGCAGAGGAGGTAGTGGGGGCCCTTGGGCTGGGTCCAGTGAGCTCCTACCCACCCTCAGGGCTGCCTGACTCTTGAAGGGACAGTCCACTCCCCCCCCCCCCACTCTCCATCCACTCACTCAAACACACACCTGAGAGAAGCTCTTCACGCCCTGCTCTCTGAGGGTCTTTGGCAGCAACACTACTTTGGGGTACCAAGCCCTGCGCTTAACTGGCTGGCTCCAAGGAGAGGCAGCTCCCTCTCAGCACCCTAGAGTAACATGGACCCCACTGCTTCCAGGAAAGCCAGGAGGCAGACTGTAGGAGCTGTAGGAGCCCAAAAGCTGCAGAGGAGGCTGGAGAGAGACAGAGGGAGAGAAAAAAAGCGAGAGGGGTGGTATCCCCCTTTGGGACCAAAGATCAGAGTTACAATACGGGTTCATGGGGTCAACAACTGAAGCCCCATCAAGTAAAATTGGTGGAAGAGGAGAAATATGGAGGACAAACTCCAAGCTGGAAATGGGAGCAGGATGCTGAGATGTCAGGAGAAATACCTGTCCATCTCCAGGCCCCAGAGCTCTAGACCCAGACTCCCAGGGAGCAAGGAGGTATACTGCCACAGACCCTCCCCAGAGTCCCAGCAGAGAAGGCAGTTGGGGCTAGTAATGGATTTTGTGTACAACCAGGCTTGTGGCCAGACTGCCTTCCCTCCTGAGGAAATCCTTTTAGTCTGTTATTGGGCACCTAAACCAAGGCAGAGGCTAGGTGACTTCTCTGGGGATTTTTTTGGGGGATGGGGGCCTGGCTCGTCTTCCAAGGGGCAGGGAATGGGCAAGGATAACCCAATTCTAGATAACCCTTTACAGGAAACCTGGAGCTGAAAGCTGGGGGGAGGAGCTGAAAGAGAGCAAGACCTAACCCCCTCAAATCCTACCCTTTCCTACTCTTGCCTATACCGCAGGCCCTGGGAAGGAAGCCCTGAGAAATACATTCTGCTTGCGTCCTAGGAACAGCAGGGTGTGTGGGCAGTGGGCCTTCCTCTGCCCCCTCCTGGGTGTCTCTTTCTGGGAGAATCTGCTCCCCTAGGGTGGGGTGGGGGTGCACATGGGAGAGCAGCCAAAGTCTAACATTCTTTCTGAGGTCAGTTTCTTCCTGAGTTGTCAAAATAAAAACAGCAAATTCTACACATCTTACAAAAATAAGAGGCCTAAAATATTAAACAAGCTACATTTCTGGGACTTCCCCTCGAAAAACAAAACAAAACAAAACAAAAATACCCTTCTTTGGGTTTGTTTTTTTTTTTCCTTTTCTTTTCTTTGCTTGTCCCCCTCTCCAAGACCCAAGGTTTCAGTTGGGTAAGGGATAAGAGGTGGGTGGGAGACTCTACTCCCCCTCCTCAGCCCCGGGCGCCTTCAGATCTGCCAAAGGACACTGCAATGAATGAGAGGGACAGAAGGCAGGGAGGGGCGTTAGAGCTCACGGACGGGGAGTCCCGCCCAGGGACACCAGAGTGAGCTGGAGGCAGACAGAAGCACAGAAGGTGATAGATGGAGAGGTGGGGACAGGAGGGAGGAGCAAAAAGTAGAATGGGGACATTGGTTGGGGAGGGGAATCAATGGCAAAGCAACAGGAGCGAATACTAAGCAAATGCAGGCAAGGCGTGGGGAAGGAGGGTGCAGGAAACAAAAGGATGGGGGGCGGGGGTGGGGGGGAGACAGCAGCAGTTCCTTAGGCCCCCGGTGTCACCCCTTGCCAGGTCTGCCCCATCCACGGGGCAGAAATGGCAAACTTCCTGTCCACAATAAATAGGAAAAACCTGAGTACACGGCGCATATGGCATTGATCTGCCCGGCAGAAGCCTTTTCTTTCCCACGGAAAGCAAACCCATCGGCAGAGCCCTCCCGTCCCCCACCCCACATTCATCACTCGTTGGCCAAGAAAACCTCCCCGGACCCCATCCTCCAAGCGGACGCGGTGAGAAGGCAGTACAGGGGGGGGGGGGTCTGCCTCGGCCTCCCCGCGCCATCAGTGTCCGGAGCCGTACATCTTGTCCCACTCCACGAACGAGTCTAGCTCCTTGGGAGTGGCCCTCGGGCCCACCTTGGCCAGCGCTGCCTCCAAGTCCTTGTAGGCAAGGGGGCGCTGCAGCCCCGGGAGGCCCGCCCCGGCCGCGGCCTGCTGGCACAGCTGCCCCAGCTCGCCCCCCGAGAAGCCCTGGGTGCCCTGCACGAGGGCGGCGAGCTCCCGCTCGCCCAGCGCGCAGCCCTGCTGGGCCAGGGCCCGCTGCAGGATCTGCCCGCGCGCGGCGCCGTCGGGCAGCGCCACGTAGAAGCGCAGCGCAAAGCGCCGGCGGGTGGCTTCGTCCAGCGCTGCGGGCCGAGACGTGGTTCCCACCACCAGCACGCCGTCGGCCCGCGCACCGCAGCCGCTGTCCAGGCAAGCCAGGAGCGGCGTCTGCAGCGAGGCCCCGGCCGCCGCGTCGTCCCGGGCCGGGAGCAGCGCTTCCAGCTCGCTGATGAGCAGCACGGCGGGCGGGCGGCAGCGCGCGGCCGCGAAGGCGGCTTGGAGGAGGCGCGCGCCCTCGGCGGCGCCCGGCGCGGCTAGGCTCGCGCCGCGCACGCGCAGTAGCGTGGCTCCCAGCTGCGTGGCCAGGCAGCGGCCCAGCAGAGCTTTCCCGGCGCCGCGCGGCCCGAAGAACAGCACGGTCCTCGGCGGGCGCGGGCTGCCCGGGTAGGCGGGAGGCCGCAGCAGGGGCCACACCAGCTCCTCCTCCAGCGCCGCCTTGAGCGCGCCCTGGCCGGCCACGTCTGCCCACTGCACGGGGGGCCCGCCCTCCACCATCTTGCTGGTCACTAGCTCCAGCGCGCCCGGGTCCACGCCTTTGGGGGGCTCCCCCGACGGCATCGCGAAGCCCCCTCGGGGAGTCGGCGCCGGGACCCGCTCCGGGAACTTCTCGAAGGGTTCAAGCGGCGGGCCGTAGGCCGGGGAGCCCAGCACCTTGAGCGGGACGCTGCCGCGGAACTTGGCCGACGCCTCGTCCGCGGCTCCCGGCGGCTTGGCGCGGAAGCCGTTGCCCCGACACTCGCCGTTGTTGTCCGCGGCGGGGTAGGGGGCGCCGTCGGCCGCGGGGGCCTTGGGGGGCTCGTACGCGTACTTGCGGTAGCGGTCCTCGGAGCCCTCGTCGGTCGCCTTGCGCTTCAGCGACGCGCCGGGGTCGGCGGCCGAGGGGAAGCCGTACGGGGCGGGCCGGGGCGGCGCGGGCGCGGGCAGGGGCGTGGGCGCCGCCAGGCCGGACGGCAGGTAGGGGCCCGGGGGCGCGGCCGGGGGCGGCGGGAGCGCGCCGTAGCCGGGCTGCGCCCCGTAGCCCCCCGCGGTGTAGTTGTAGAGCGGGGCGGGGGCCCCGTACCCCGGCGGCGGCGGCGGCGGCGGCGGTGGCGGCGGCGGGGCCAGCGCGGCGCCCGTCTGCGTGCAGTAGCCTGGCGCCAGGTAGCCCCCGCCGTAGCCCGCCGTGTACTCGGGCGCCGCCGACGGACCCCCGCACGCATTGCCGGCGTAGAGGGTGTCGGACAGGTTCCCGGCTACAATCGGGGAGCCCCCGAGCCCCGCAGAGCCTCCCCCGGCGCCGGGCTTGGCTCCAGGGAGGCCCTCGTGCAGTGAGGCCAAGGGGTAGGGCGGCTCCGGCCCTGGCCAGGGCTCGGGGTCCCCCTTAGCGCCATTGAGGAAGGCGGCGTCGCCGTAGCCGCCCAAGGAGGGGCGCTCGTAGGGCGAGTCCAGGACCCCCGAGTACTTCTCCGCGTAGCGCTTGAGGAGATTGGAGGCGGTGAGCGCCGAGATGTCGTCGTGGGCCCAAGCATAGTGGCAGCGCTGGCGACCCCCCGGGGGCAACTCCAATTTGTGGGCAGGCGACGGGGTGGTGGAGGAGACGTCCAGGTGCTGCTCTGGCCACTGGTTGAGGGGCTGGGCGTGCTCAGGTGTCCAGTGCATCTTCAACAGAGCTGTGGACAAGAGGAGAGACGTGGATGACGAGGTCCTGCCCTCCATCACTTAGGCCGTGGCTCAGGACAGTGCCCACCACACACCCTTCCCACTCGCTGACATCCTTCCTGCAGTCACCCAATACTTCCGATCCCAGGATTCGTTATCTGAGCCAACACCCTGGTTGATGCCAATTGCACCCTGTAGGTTAGGATTTTTTTTTTTTTTTTTTGTCCTGACCACTTCAGCCCTGCCCTGTAGGACACAGGGTTCTCGTGCATGCCTAAGGAATGGAGGATCCAGCAGCGGGAAGGGTCAGACGCCCTGGAAGCTCAGTGGATAGTAGACACTTGCCACCCAGTGCCATGCACTTGGCCTTGCAGCGTAAGGCCTACAAGGGCTCCTAGCCTACCGGCCTGGAATTGGACATCCCTCAATGCTTTGCTCTCAGCCTGCCCCGCATCTAACTTCATCTCCTCCCCCAGATCAGAGATGCCTGCCAGTGTGGCAGCACCTCATCCACCTGAGAATCCACACATGCTGACCCAAGCAGCACTCATTTCCTTGCCACTTGGTTTCTTATGGCCTGAGAAAGTCAGAGCCATTGTACTCTAGACTACATTACATGGAATGGCTGCGGGCCCTGACAGGTTCTCCTGTATCTGCCTCATCCCCAAAATTATGTCTTTTCCACAAAGTAAAAGCATTGTTTGGAGTGGACAGACACACTCTGGAGACGAGGAAAAGTCTTCATAGAAAGTGGATCTCAGGACCAGCAGTGTAGTAGTATAGTGATTACCTAAGCAACATGCTCAAGGCCCTGGGTTCCATCCCCAGCACTGAAAATAGAGTAGGGTACAGATTTGTCCCTGAGCTTCTCAGTCACCAAATAAAGATGGAGATATTATTGGCCGCACACGCAATATATAAAACGCCACTACTTGAAATTAGCAAAAATGTTCCTGGCACAGAGGTCATAAACTTTTTTGTGAGATGTAATAATGTCTCGCCTGACATCTGTATCATAAACACTGCAGACAAGTCCCAAGGCTGTTTACTGTCTTTTAGTAACCATCCATACACTGGTGAAAGGAGTACAGGGCCTTACAGTACAGTCCAGTGAGCCAGCCTGGGCTTGGGATAAGATTGCTGAGACTAAGTGAGCCATAGCATTCCCAAAGACAGTTTTCTGATCAGTATTTCTCAGACCTGAGCTTCTGATGAGCTACTGTCTTCAGATTTTGGTGGGTTTTTTGGTTTTGGTTTTGTATATGAGTTTTTGTTTTACAGTGCTGTGCCTCTTGCATGTTAGGCAAGGACTCAGGCTATACTCCCAATCATTCTTTAGTAAATTTATGTGTATGCATGCACCAATACTGGGGGGCTTGAATTCAGGGCCTGGGCTCTGTCCCTTAGCTTTATTGCCCAGGGCTGGCACTCTATCACTTGACCACAGCACCACTTCTGGCTTCTAATTACTTAATTGAGGACAAGACCCTTTTCTGCCCAGGCTGACTTGAAAACATGGTCCTCAGATCTCAGCTTCCAGAGTAGCTAGGATTACAGGCAACAACCAGCCTTCTCTTAAGCAAATTTCTGTTGAACAAATCGTAAGTGCTTTGTCTAGGCATGGGGTTAAGGTGAAAAATGAGTGATATGGGTCAGCATGCCACATCTCACTGAAAAGGCCTCCTCAAGGGGATGGCGTCTTTACTAGACCTGGAAGAGTGAGAAATCAAGTAGACCAAACAGGCTAGAGTGGAATATTTAGATCACAGGATCCGCACCTTTCACAGGGGCTGAAAATACAATTAGAAAGTCAGAGCTACCTGAGCATCATAGTTCATATCTGTAGTTCCAGTATTCAGAAGGCTGAGCCCAAGACTAGCCTAGGTAACATAACCCTTCCAAAAAAAATTTTTTTAAGCCAGGGCTATGATAGGTCACATGCTCCAGTCCCTTCCTTGGAGCTCTTTACTGCCACCCTCTGGAAAATTATTATCTACAGATCTACCCTGTGTATGGTGTGAATCCTGCTCCTTAGGAGTAGGACTGCTAGTGCTAAGCTCCCAGGCCACACCCAGCCTATAGACAGCATCAAGCAACTCTGTATCTCAGAGCCTTGGAGGTGAGTATATGTGAAAAGCAGCAGGATAGGAGAAGAGGCTGAAAGGAATCAAGTTTCAGGTTCTGCAGCTGGCCCTACTTTCAGGTAACTGGTTGTCAGCAGGCGCACTTCTATTAATTCTCACTATTTCCTGTGGCTATAACCTGAAAACAATGACATAAGACAGTGTTTGAAAATAAAACAACTCTGTGCTGGGAAGATGGTTTAATAGTAGAGTGCTTGTCTAGCATGCATGAAATCCTGGTTCAATTCCTCAGTATCACATAAACAGAAAAAGCCAGAAGTGGTGCTGTGGCTCAAGTGATAGAGTCCTAGCCTTGAGCAAAAGAAGAACAGGAACAGTTCCCAGGCCCTGAGTTCAAGCCCCATGACTGGCATAAAGAAAGAAACAAACACTGTCATCCCCACCACCCAAAGAGCAAGTGTGAACCATAGGTCTCAATGCCCCAAAAGAAAGGCAAGCCAGGCCATTTTGCTTCCCTACTATAAGAGAGGTGACAGCCACCAAAGACACAACAGCTGGTGAAGCTTCCCAGTCCTCACTGGCTTTTGCTGAGAGGGAAGTTGCTAAAGATCAGAGGGGTTACCTGGTATCAAAGGCTGTCAGAAGTTACACGAGACATGGCTGCAGGGTCATGCTAAGTAATGTCAGTTAGACCAACACAAGGAATATATCTTACATCCAACCCAAACCTGGGTTGGGTTGGATTTGGGGTTGTTTGCTTTTTTGTTTACTATTATCTGGACCTTGGCTCCTCTGTAAATATGGAGAAAATAGATTCAACCTGGATGATAGCGTTTACCTTGCATATATTACACTAACCAAGCTGGGGAAGACAGCAGCCCTCTTTCAGAAGACACAATGAAAACAGACCCTGGCTCTGGACCTGTCCACACACCCTGCCTTCTCTCCCCTGCCCTGCCAGACCCACTGCTGCTGCTGCTCCTCACTGCTGTGTCTGTTCTGACTTTCTAATTGTATTTTCAGCCCCTGTGAAAGGTGCAGATCCTGTGATCTAAATATTCCACTCTAGCCTGTTTGGTCTATTTGATTTCTCACTCTTCCAGGTCTAGTAAACCCTCCATCCTTCTAGCCTCAGACTCACTCCTTCATTTCTCCAGCACACGGCCCCATCTGAGGAAGGGAATCTTATGACACCAGCCATACTATCGCTCTGTGTCTTACATGCTTCACTCTAGATCATGTTTTCATTTTAGCTAGGGGAATAAACAATGAAGCCTTTATTTATCTACATCTACAGTCACCAAGTAGAACAGAAGGCCTGTGGTTTACCTACTCAGCCCTTGACTCCATCTGGCCCAGGCCAGGACCTAGTCTAATCAATTATCACTCCTCCCTGCCAAATAGTGGCTCCTCCCAGAGCAAGTGCAATTCTTCCCATTTCAAAAGTGGCCTTCCTGTGCATCCTTGTGGGAGGCTGCCTGGTGTGTTCCTGTGTCCACACAGTAGAGCACTCTCAGGTCTTTTCTGACAGCCTGGATGAAGAGTGCTGCCCCCCCCCCCTCAAGCTCCACCTCCTGCGGGAAGGATCTCCAAGGAGGAACCTCCTCCATAGTTCAGCTCACAGACCACACTGTACTTCTCCTTGGTCAACTAAACTGGAAGTAAGGAAAGACCTAGGACTCTAGGAAAAGTGGGGGCCTGGTTTGAATCCAGGCCCAGACACTATGATCCTGGGCTCACAGAATTTCAATTTCTCCATCTGTCAAGGGGCTTAATGTATGTCAGGCAAAGTGACTATATGGATTTTTTTTTTTAAGTTCAAAAAGATGGTCCAGCAGAAGGTACAAATACAAACTAAACCCAACCTTGCTCAGTGATGCTGAGCAAGTCACACACACACACACACACACACACACACACACACACACACACACACACACACACACACACAACCCATGGCTGGGAGGTTCCCTACCATCATGATAACAAAGAGCAGCCTCAGCCAGCACTGGCGGCTCACACCTGTAATCATAAGAGCTACTCTAGGAAGCTGAGATCTGAAGATCAGGGTTTGAAGCTAACCCAGATAAGAAAGTCTGTGAGACTAAAATTAACCACCAAAAAGCCGGAAGTGGGAGCTGTGCCTCATGTGGTAGAGCACCAATGTTGATCAAAAAAGCTAAGGGCAGTTGCCAGGCCCCGAGTTCAAGCCCAAGTATACACATAGACACACACATAGACACACACAGCCCTTTGGCCTTTTCCTCAGCTCCCTATTCTGTGCTACACCTAGATCAGTATTATTATTCCTATTCTACAGATGAGATGGAGGTACAGAGAGACTAACACCCTTTCATGGTCACAACGTTGTTCCATTGCTGAGTCAGGAGTCAAAATCCAGACTCTAGACACTTGCCAGTTGGCCTGTCAGCTCTAGCCCTTTGTTCCTGAAACCAGAAGGGAGAGCCTGAGGTCTTACTGCATATCCTCAACTCCTTTACTCCAGGCTATAAACATACATACCCTTCCAACCTGGCAGGAAAATTTACATCCTCTCCTAGAAAAACAGCCCAAAGAGAGCTATCCTTTTCCCTGTGGACATGTTTCTGGGCTAGACAGACAGTTCCTTCTTAGAGCTTCACAGCCTTCTCTAGGGGGAGTTGAGACGGAATAGAGACAACACCTTCATTTGCACAGCTGGCTGGTTTGGGTAGCCCTGACTGGCTCTACCCACAGAATACAGTCTTTCAAACTTATAGGCAATTGATACAGAAAGTATTACCAGATGTAAGAGTAAAATAATTTCTAAAAATCCCTCCTCCCAGTTTTAGGAAGTCTTTCCCCTTGCTGTGAAATGATTCGGCCTTCACAATTGACCACAAACCTCCTGAACTCATCTCCTACCACAATCTCCATCTTGCTGCTCC